ATTTCCGTGGATTGCTTCACCTTGCAAGAAGTATGAGTCTTTCTTTACTGAAAGTGACATGTGAACAAAGTACTGACATGTGGTAGCTCTGTTCTTATCCTTTCTGGAAGATTAATTCTCATCCATGTTTCTACTCAAGATATTTTGTGCTCCAAATAAGTGAAGGTGTGAATAATGATAGAACAATGAGCTCCAATAATCATAAGGTAGGTATTATCTCTCTTCATACACAGACCAGTGTGAAGTCTGATAAACTTTTACCTTTGGTAAAACATTGCAACAGAAAGAAACAACTCCCAAACAGCAGCATTACCTAGCACACAGCTAAATGTTCTGGGCTTTGGAATTGTGATCTGGGTTTGAAGAGCTACTGCCCCTTACTTGTGGTTTGACTTTGGACAAGTTTACGATCCACCCTTAACTTTCAAATGTGAAATAGGGATCATAATGACCACTGCACAACATTATTTCAAAGAATCAATGTAAAACACTTTGTAAAATCTGGTACAAAATAAGCATTTAATAAGGGAGGGGTTGTGATTGTTCGTAATGTAATCATAACCACTGATCTGGCAGTTTGTCATCCTGTGGTGGCTTGTGTGTCGCTGTGATGCTGGAAGCAACACCACCATTACTTCAAACACCAGTAGGGTCACCCATTGTGAACATGTTTCAGTGGAGTTTTCAGATTCAGCCAGATCAGGAAGAGAGTTGCAGCAATCTAGTTTTAAAAATTAGTCAGTGAAAACCCTATGGATTGCAACCGAACATTGTTTGTCTGGACTCAACCATTCCAAGGAATGTAAAGATGGTGCAGGGCTCAGCAGTGTCTCACTCGGTTAACATAGGGTCGCCACAAGTCAGAGTCCACTTGATGGCAGCTAACAACGACAATAGTAACACACAACAGACTGTTGAAGCATGAAAAGAATTTCTGGTTGTTTGAGTTAGTTAAATTCAAGGAGAGGCCTGGACACACTTGGTGGTGTATCACAAACGGCAGAGTTGCCTAGTCTTAAAGGCAACCAGAAATCCTTTTGTTGGTTTTTGAGGGACAAAACAGTCCTATGAGAGAAATGGAGAGGGTGCACGCTCCCTCATATCGGGCTGCCAATATGGCATCCACAAATGGCTTAAAGTGTATCTCCAACAGGACTTACAGAGACAGCTTTCATTTTCTTCTATTTTTCCTTTTAATTCTTTTCCTCGCCTGATTTTCTCTTTCCCCTTCTATCACTAGCCCTAATCAATGCAGCAGGTCAGATTGAAAGAATGGACAGCCTCTGAGCCACATACATTTAAACCACTTTAATGCAAATATTGATCGAAGGAGCATAGACACGGGCTGGGCTGCATTTTTTTTTTTTTTTTTTGAACATGCTTTTATTATGGGACTGTGCTACCCATAATAAAACAGATCACCATAGATCAGCATTCCACCGTCTTTCTATGCATAGGAATGCATAGGCAAATCCAAAAGTTAGGCCAGATTCAATGCCAACTTTGTGAGCACCCAAAGTGGGTTTCAGAGTCAGCTAGATTATATTTTCCTAACCATTTTACACTTCTGTCTTCATACTTTGGACGTGATCTATTTTGGCACACAAAGAGGGAGGCTCTCATAAAGGGTGTGGTACCTTGTGTAATAATAGCTGCTCAACAACAAGGTACACTATGGCGGGATACTTAATTCCTGCATACACACAATCATCAAAGCACCATATCAGAAAGCCATGCTCCACAACATATAATTAGCAACAGCGTACAAGTCTGAGCTGAAATCCAAAAAAAAAAAAAAAAAGATCAAGGGCAGGAAGGAATTCTAAGGGCCACTTTGAAATTCGACACTAAAAAGATCTGATATTCTATCTGTAGGCATTTTTTAGGCTGGATTGGGGAGGGGGGAACAGAAAAAGAAAAAAGAAAATCTGTTTGTACAAAGAAAGCTGGTTTGGTCTATTGCCGACAAAGGAGGCGTCACAAACTCGGTAGAGCATGAAAGCATCACAAACCGAAGCAAATTAACGCAAGAGAAAAAGCAGCAACATCCCACCATGTTTACCAAGACAGCTGTGAGGATGGAAACAAGGCCTGGTGTTCACCATCACACCTTCACCATCATACTAAGAAGCTTTTTGTTTTTTTTTTCCCCGGAGCTGCCAGCCATCACATCTTCATGTAAAGGGGAAAATGTCATCATTAGAGAGGGACAAGCGAGATGTGTACACCAGGTGGACAGAATGTTCCGCTACAGGTTTATCAGCTTAAAAACTGAGATAACCGAGGTGAAGGGGAAACTGAGTGGTATGCAAAGTTGGAGGGAAGCAAGGCGGAATGGAGCCTTTGACCTTGGAAGAGCTGAATACTGGAGGAGGAAGGGGATGGAATGAGGAATTCCTTGCTGTAATATATTCGGGTAAAAATGGGGCTGTCATCTTGAGCTACAAGTTAGAAAGTTATTACTTTTAATATGCCACTACCTTAGGCCTATACTGTTATGTAAAAGAAAAATAACCTTGTGTGACAGTTTAACATTGATCGATGTGCCTGCCAAATGCAAAGAGATAAATAAGCAGGTGATGAATAAACAGCACTTCAAGTAAAGACATTACGCTGCATGCATAAAACGGCGCCAGGCACCTAGGAGCTGTGGGTGGCCGAAGGTTGGCCATTTCATGCCCACTCAGTAAAGCAGACTTAATCGCTTCCAATATTTTCTGTTAAAAAGCACGCTTAATGAGCCAATTTCACAAGCCCAGAGAAACTGATTATTATCTCTGAGTTCCAACAGAGTTGGTTGTTTTCCAAGAGCCAGGTTTTGTGTTTTTTTTTTTTTTTTTTTCCTCCCTCTTTGACGGGATAAAAACCTTTTTTTAAAGAAGAGAGAGAGAAGTAGGGGAGAGAGCAAGAGAGAAAGGGAGAGAGGAGGAGAGAGGAGAGAGCCGGCAGAGAACTCGAACGGCGGCTCACAGGGGAGAGATGGTCACTAGATGGCAGTGTTACCCCGTAGTCAGCACCTAGGACGAGGCCTCAGGACTGGACGGGATGATTCGCCTGAAAGATGGGACGGTAAATAAAGCGGCAAGCAGCTGCCTGGAGAGTTCATACCCTACCCTCCGCCCTCCTTGGACCCTTTGTCCACAATTCTTCCATCCTCCAGCCCGTACAAGGCGAGGAGACAAAAGGGGCCGTCCTCGAATGGCCTGCCTCCATCAGCCCAGGACTCTGATTACTCTTGCACGCAGCCTTGTTTTACAAAGTACAGGAGTCCTTTCTCTCCCCGCCCCCTCCCCGTCAGATCCAGTTCTTCCTGGTGTTTTCCCCTGAGAGGTTTGCCATCTCGGTATCCCTCACGGGGCTAAGCATGTGGCCGCTAAGGGGCTGAATATCCCGCCCTAGTTTTGCACCGTTTACTTTAGGGCAGGTTCCTTTTTTCTACCTCTTTCTCTTCCACATTCAATTACGCACTTGAAGTAAAAAAGTGTGCAAGAAATGAATTTACCTTTAAATATATTAACTTCTTGGTGAAAAGATTGAGAATAAAGGAGGGGAGCGGACATCCCTCTTTGGGAGCCAGCTGTTCTTCAGAGGGTGTGATTATGTCTCCTTCCAGCCACACAGCAGTGCTGTGAAAGCCACAGAAACATGGGGTTATTGTCAAAAACTGCAGTTATTCAATCACCACTAGGAGAGAAGACCTGGCAACTAGACCTCAGCATATAATTAACTCCGATTTAAAAAAAAAAAAAGAAAGAAAGAAAGCAATGAACTGTTGTTAGGTTCTAAATTGAGATTCAAGCTAATTATTTATGAATATTCATAAAAATCTTGAACAAGTTCCAAATTTGGCCTTTAGTTTCTCATCAGTTAACCAAATAATTGATGTATGTTCTTTTGTGGGGTACCTTTTGCTAGATGTGCCACAGAGCCATCATATTCATTAAGATTTTTTAGTTCGTTTTGTCTTCTGATGAACCAAAAGGGAATGGACTTGGCAACAGAGCAAAAATAATTTTATCTCTTATCTTTATCTTTTATCTTTCATTTCAAGAGCTCTGGTGGTGTAGTGCCTAAGGCATTTGCTAACCACCAGCTACTCCTCAGAAGGAAGACTGGGCAATCTATTTCCATAGAGATACCACCTCAGAAACCCAAGGAGGAGTTGCTGTGAGTCAGATCTGACTCGCAACGGTCAGTTTCGTTCTTCTGGTTTATCTTTTATTTCTGCTTACCCATAAGAGAAGGATAAAATAATATTGAGCAAAGATGAGTCAATCATGGAAAGGAAACTGTGAGATTTGAGAAACTTTCAAATAAGCAGATAAAATTCGATTTTCTATATGTGTGTTAGGTAGATAGATGAAGGTGGGCACAGAATGAAACTATGAAAAAGTACCTAATTCCAAGAACTTATTACAGGCAGTGGGGTCCAATATTCTCATTCAATTATTCAGAACAAGAAGGCTCTAGGTGTTCCCAAATTACTTCTCAACATTCTAGCCTCTGACAAAGGGGCCCACCCCGTTTTCCACACTCACACCTTTTCCAATCCACTAACATGCACCCAGCTCCCTGCTTCTGAAGAAATCAGCTATCCAACCTGAAAAATACTCTGTTGGAATATAAACTAACAGCCACTATGGATTTTCAATTGACTTCTGACTTTAGTTCCTAAAGTATAACCATCTGCACACCAGGCCTTTTTTCCTGGCCTGTCTTAGTCTGGCATCTGTTCAGCTATTCATTATTGTTAATTGTCGTTGAGTTGGTCCTCAGTTCATGGTGACTCCATGTATAATGGAACAAAACATTGCCCAGTCCTACGCCAGCCTCATGATCAGTTGCAGATCAGACCGTTGTGATCCATAGAGTGTTTATTGTCTGATTTTCAGAAGCAGATCACCAGGCCTTTGTTCTTGGTCTGTCTTAGTACGGAACCTAATCAGCATCATGGCAACATGCAAGCTCTGCCAACAGATGGGAAGCAACTTCTCATGAGGCGCACTGGCTGAGAATCGAACTCAGGTCTTCTGCATGAAAGGCAAGAGTTCTACCACTGAACCACCACTGTCCCCATAACTATTCGTTGTTGTTGTTGTTGTGTGCCATTGAGTCAGACCTGACTCATAGCAACCCCTCTTTGGGTTTCCAAGGCAGTCTCACTATGGAAGTAGATCGCCCAACCTTCCTTGTGAGGAGTGGCTGGTGGGTTTGAACCGCCAGCCTTCTGGTTAGCAGTCAAGTGCCTTAGGCACTATGCTATCAGAGCTCAAATAAGATGGGGCCCAAACACCAGCCTCTCACTTAGACTGAGAAGGTTCTGGCAGCTACTTCTACTAGGAGTGGCTTGGGAGAGGGCATTTCAGACAAGAGTTGTCAGAGGACACAGAACATTCCAAGAACTGCAAGTGAGTCTTTGCAGTTAGTTATAGGGTAAGATGCAAGAAAAGTGTGGGGACAGACGGAGCTGGAAAGGGAGGTTCAAATCGATTTAAAAAAAACAACCTGTGTGAGTTATTAAGAAATTTGGATTTTGCCCTGAATATATGTTCTGTTTTGTTTTGTTTGGTTTGGTTTCTTTCTTTCTTTTTTTTAAAAGGAGGCCTTTAAGCAGGTAACTGGTTTGTAGAAAACCACTCTGGCAGAAGTCTAGATATTTGGAAAGAGGCAGGAATATGACTTAGGGCCTCTTACAGTAATGCAAACAAGAGATGATGAAACTGCAACAACACAGAGCCAGTGAGGAAGGAGAAATACATTTGATATCAAAACAAATAATAAGAAATTATAATTGACAGAATTTTAAGTGTGTAGGACTGGCAAAATATATGTTGGTAAAAGTTGAAGGTATAGAAATCTGACAAGGAACCCAGACTTCACCCAGAATTCTAGCCTGGGCAAATAGAGTTGGAAATATATTTTTAAAAACAAACACAATTGAACACATTGGATATTGGTTCAATGTATTCAATGAGAGAGAGAGAAAGAGAGAGAGAGAGAGAGAGGAGGGCGAGCCCTTTGTTGGCACAGTGCTAAAGGAATTTGACTACTAACCAGAAAGTTGGTGGTTCAAACCCACCAGTTGCTCCGCAGATATACTTCCATAAAGATTTACTGCCTCAGATACCCAATGGGGGTCACTATGAGTTGAAATTGACTCAATGGAAGTGAGAATGTTTTGAAAGTAGATTGCCAGGTCTTTCTTCTAGGACCTCTGGGCAGACTAGAACCTCCAACCTTTGTCGTTACCATCCAAGCTGGCTAACCATTTGCACCACCCAGAGATTCCAGTAAGACCTCTGCTAGCCACCCCATAGAGCTGTTAGCACAATAATGCAAGTAAAGACATGAAATCACTTTGAAAAATGTATTTGATATGATGCAAATGCACAGTTATTAAAATTATGGTGTTTTCAGTGATGAGGTTTAAATGTATGCTAGTTTTCTTTGTTTTCAGTAAGTGGCATAATTTATAGAAACTAGAATGGCAAATATAAGGTGCTCCACTCTCCATACTTAGGCTGGGGAGCTTCAAGATGTCCTTGGACTCAGCAGGTCCAAAACAAACCCCACAAAGGAAGCTTTTTCCTGTGGGAGAAAGTGGGAGCTTTTTGTAGCTTTGGCTTGCTTCAATATTCTTCATTTTCCCAACATGGAAGTCACAGACTATAATGCCACAATTGTCCTTTCCAAAATCCGTCAAAGATGTATGTTCTGCAGGTTTTTATCAGCTATATTTCACAAACCCATCAAGAGGTACCCCCTCCCTGTGTGGCATATTAATGGATTTCTCTTCTGTCATATTTATTAAAAACACCCATCCAATACTTTAATTGATAATGAGGGTGAGTCTTTTACCCTCTTGCAAGATCTCTAAACAATGAAGATACAACCACAGACAGCAACTTGACCCACTAAAGGGATTATGAAGAGGGAGAAAAAGGGTAGTATTTCCACTCTAGACAGAGCACTTCATTAAAGACCATCCTCAATAAATATTGAAACAAAGGTACTTCTCTCTCATTTATCACCAACCCACTCACCTTTTACTCATTGGTATGTTCAATGATCAGTGTGTCTGCAGTACTTACAAGTACTCATGCTCTCTCTGAAGTGGTCAGAAAGATGATCACACAGTTGTAATAAAAAGAACACTGCAGATTTAATACACACCAGCAAAATGGACTGTAAAATTAAATCAACCAAGGCCAAAATTCAGTGCAATTTAATTCAGAAAAAAAATTGAAGCACTGAGCTAAGTGTCAGCTCTATTTTTTCACCCAGTATACAAAACATATATGCTGATAATGAATGGACTCCTGAGTAGAGTTTGAACCGACACACCAAAGGCAGGCTAATACAATCCACATGAGTCTTATCAATTCTAAAACAACAGAAACTCCTTCCTGTTTCATCAGAGTTCAAATATTTTACAACATACTGCAACTGGTTGAAACGTGTTCCTTGCTTTGGTTGTAAATTCAGAGAAAAGTTACTTCTGAGATCCAGGGCTTAAAATATGATGAAAAGAAAAACAGCAAGGTCATAGAACTGCTAGAAGTGCAGATATCTTAATGGACAGACAGCTGGGCCTCTAATTGCCACTAATCTTACATATTCTATACATGATTGTAGAACAACTCAATTGCTGCTGTATCTGGAAATCTATAATAATGGTCACAATTAGAAAGAGAAAAGGAAAGTAACTTACAGGTGGTCACAGAAAAGTCATTTTCAGAAAATGCAAAAACATACAATAGATTTGCCACTTGAGTTTCTCAAATGGAGATTTGTACTTTGAATTACAAGAGATGTAAATTTCTCCATAATATTAAGAACAATGACACATGATTTGTTTTTTAATCTATAAAGTGAGCAGATGCCATTTTCTCCACATTATTTTGATAGAATTATTAGGATAGGGGTAAGTAAATTGATTGGTCAAGAGATTACACATATATTGGGATAAAGAATATCATTAAAAAGAAGTCCGTGTAAAGGGTCATGATAATCACGGTTATTAGAGTTTGGAAGCAAAAACTAATGGCGCTGCCTGTGTGTTATTGGCGGGGGGGGATCACTGCTGTCGAGTCAGTCCTGACTCATAGCGACCCCTCCTTGGGTTTCCAAGGCAGTGTATTTATGGAAGTAGACTGCCCAGTCTTCCTTCTGAGGAGTGACTGGTGGGTTTTGAACCACCAGCCTTCTGGTTAGCAGTCAAATGCCTTAGACACTGTGCACCAGAGTTCTTCTGTGTGCTACTGTACTCCCCTGAAAAAATACCGTGATTTTTTGTCTATGAAGCACATTGGTAAACTGTCAAGATTTCCATATTTCCTGTATTCTAAAAACATCCAGACTCAAACATCATAATATTTTATAAGATTAAATACATATAATATGTACATCAGAAGGAAGACTGGGCACAGAAGAAAGACTGGGCAGTCTGTGCCTCAGAAACCCCAGAAGGGGTAGCTCTGAGTTGGAATCAAGTATATATGTGTATACCTCTGATGGGTTGAGGAGGGAAGTCTATAGACTTTTTGTTTCTTGCTTTTATTTCCCCCCAATAGCTTACTTTGTGCTTGTATTTTCATTTCTTATTCACTCTCTTTCAATTCGTAGGTGCGTAAGCATTTGTCCATTGCACATATGGAAAGGCCCAGTGAACAAATAGCTAACCTGCATAGAATTTAACATTGTATCTAGATGCACTCACCCTCTGCCATTGAGTCAATTCTGACTCATAGTGACTCCCATTGGGTTTCCAAGGCTGTAAATCTGTAGGGAAATAAATTACCTCATCTTCCTCTTTTGGAGCAGCTGGTTGGTTTGAATTATAGGAGCTCTGGTGACATGGTGCTGAAGGCATTTTACTGATAACTAGAAAGCTGGTGATCAAACCCATCAGCCACTCCTCAGAAGGAAGACTAGGCAATCTACTTCCATAGAGATCGCACCCCAGAAACTCAAGGAGGGGTTGTTATGAGTCCAATTGACTGGATGGGAGTGAGTTTTTTTTTTTTTTTTTTTTGGTTAGCAGCCAAATGCATTACCCACTATGCCACCAGAGCTCCTTAATTATATCTATATAAAACTTTTTTAAAAGTCCACATTATTTGAGAAAGCTTAAATGATTTATTCTGAGATCATTTACCAAGCTGATAGGCACATAGTAAGTGTTCAACAAAGGCTTGGGGAAGAATTAAATGAATATACCAACAGGGAAGAGTGACCCAGTCGTTAAACTGCTCACTTATTTTTCATTCTATTCTTCATTTCTGCCCTGCCCATTGACCACTAATTAATCCTTCTTACCAGATAGTGACAGGAGCTCTGGTGGCATAAGTGGTTAAAGCATTCAGCTGCTAACAAAACGATTGGCAGTTCAAATCTACCAGCCGCTTAGAGGGAGAAAGATGAAGCAGTCTGTTTCTACAATGATTTACAGGCTTGGAAACTGTATGGGGCCAGTTCTATTCTGTCCTATAGGGTCACTATGAGTCAGAATTGACTCAATGGCAGTGGGTTTGGTTTTTGATTATCAGTTAGTGGAATCCACTCTACACATTTTACAGAAAAGAAAAGAAAAGGGAAGGAAGGAAGAAAGGAGAAAGAGAGAAAAAGAAAGAAAGGAAGGAAGGAAGGAAGAAAGTTCCCACAGCAATGCAGTTGATTGCAACTCATGGCATCCTTGATCCCACTTTATTACATGTACATTAAGAGATATCTGTTCAAAACAATAATGAAGAAACTCTAATTGATGTGATGAGTCAAATGGTGGCACCAGGGAATCTGGCATCAGCTGTGATAAGAACAGAGCTAGGTAATCCTTAGCCACTTCAGGTATCTTTGGGCTTGTGTCTACCTCACTGACAGATGTGTCAGGGAGATTCAGGGAGAAAGGTATATCATGACATTACTTATTGGGCAACACTGCAGATTTAGATATTTCTTACAATTTCATTTGCACTTCAACATGTTGTTTTAACCTCTTTGATGAGAGTACAAAAAAAAAATCAAAAGAACAGATGACGTGATTCTAGCAACCATAGCATGGTAATTTTAAAA